ACATTGAGGACAATTAACCAGTGGAATAGCTTGCCACCAGAAGTTGTGGGTGCTGCAACACTGGAGGTTTTCAAGAAAAGACTGCACAGTCACTTCTCTGGAAGGGTCTCCTGCTTGAGCAGGGGGTTGGACTAGAAGACCTCCAAGGTCCCTTCCAGCTCTGTATTCTGATTGATTGATTGATTGATTGATTGATTGATTGAAATGATCTAGGGCAGGGGTAGGCAACCTTGGCTCTTTTATGACTCGTGGACTTCAACTCCCAGAATTCCTGAGCCAGCATGGCTCAGCTTGGAAACTCTCCCTTTCACCTCAGCATGGCTGGCTCAGGAATTCTGGGAGTTGAAGTCCACAAGTCATAAAAGAGCCAAGGTTGCCTACCGCTGGTCTAGGGTCTCCTGCTATAGCAGAAGGTTGGACTAGAAGACCTCCAAGGTCCCTTCCAGCTCTATATTCTGATTGATTGATTGATTGATTGTAACTTTCCCAGTGTGTGTGTGTGTGTGTGTGTGTGTGTTCCCTTCAATTTGGACACCCGCCCACCCCTTTCTCAGCTTCTTCTGCAAAACTAAATCAATTAAAAAGGCAGCGATCGAGTATTAAAAGGAATGAATCTGCTTTCACACTTTGGGCTGAAAAACACATCCGGATTGTGTCCTTGGGTTTGTTTTGGCTGCCCGGCTTTCCGATCGGAGTCAATTATTCATGCTCAGCCGTTAGGGTGGTGGATATTGGTTAATAATTGAGCAGGCCAAAGTACTCGGCGCTCCCAAAAAACTGGTCAGGTCTCGTCTTTTGACAATCCAGATCTCATGCCTTGCCTTGGGTGGCCAGGAAAATCTTTCCCAGTCCCCCCCCTTTTTTTTCCTTCCTCCATGATGCTCTGGCTATCTTCGTCCCACAGCTGTGGGGGGGGGGGGGCTGTCCAGATGACCAGGAAGATCCGTTGTTAGCCTGGACTAGACCTGGGAATTTTAATTTGGCCCTTTGGCTGTCCCTATCGTGTTGACAAGCAAAGTCAACGGGGAAGCTTCCAGAAGTTGTGAATGCTCCAACACTGGAAGTTTTTAAGAAGAGACTGGACAGCCATTTGTCTGAGCAGGGGGTTGGGCTAGATGACCTCCAAGGTCCCTTCCGACTTTATTATTATTAACAACCTGCCTCCAGAAGTTGTGAATGCTCCAACACCGGAAGTTTTTAAGAAGAGACTGGACAGCCATTTGTCTGAAATCGTACAGGGTTTCCTGCCTGAGCAGGGAGTTGGACTAGAAGACCTTCAAGGTCCCTTCCAACTCTATTACTATTGTTATTGTTGTTGTTAACATTATCTGGCTGGGTAAGGGCAATCAACTGTGACAGGGATCTTGGAGTCTTAGTGGACAATCAGATCAATACGAGCCAGCAAGTGTGCGGCAGCAGCCAAAACAGCTACTGCAATCCTAAGTTGCATTAAGAGAGGGATTCAATCAAAATTGTGTACTAATACCACTTTACAAGGCCTTGGTAAGGCCACACTTGGAATACTGCATCCAATTTTGATCATCACGATGTAAAAAAGATGTTGAGACTCTGGAAAGAGTACAGA